TTGATATCGTGTTGATGGTAGACAAGCACAAGCATGTGCTCACCACCCCTTGTCCTCTTGAGCCGATTGAGGAGTCTACTCAAGAGGAGCAAGACGCATACACTTCTTGGATGCGTTCCGATGAGATTGCTAGGTGCTATATTTTAGCATCAATTAGCAATGTGTTGCAGCAGCAACATCGGAACATGCTGACAGCTGCAGATATGATCTACATCATTGCTGAAATGTTCGGCAGCCAGGGCCGTGAAGCCAAGCAAGCTACGGTGCGTAACTTCATGAACTGTCGGATGAAATTTGGCACTCCTGTTGACCATATGCTACTGATCATTAGTCACTTGAATGAGATGGAGCTCATGGGAGCTGAGATAGATGGGGAGACTCAGGTGGATATGATCCTAGAGACTCTCCCGGAGATGTTCGACAACTTCAAGCTCAACTACTCAATGAATAAGTTGAACTATTCACTCCCTGAACTCATGAAGGAGCTTCAAACTGCGGAAGCTCTACTGCTTGAAGGAAAAAAGAGGAATGGAAAGGTACACCTTGCTGAAGCAAAACCTTCCACCTCTGGTGCCAAGAAGCTGAAGAAAAACCGCAACAAGAAGAAACCGAAAGGAAAAGCTGGAAAGGGCAAGAACAGTGCAAGGGTAGACAAGAGTAATGACAAATGTCACCATTACGGAGTAGCTAGCCACTAGAAGCGTAACTGTCCTACTTACCTCAAGGAGGTTAAAGCTAAAGGTACATTACTTGTGACCGAAGCCTGTTTTGTGGCTGACTTTACTTTTTCTTAGATTGTAGACTCTGGAGCCACCAATCATGTTTGTTGTTCTCTACAGGGGTTCAGGGAAAGCAAAAGACTTAGCAAGGGCGAGTTTAACTTTCGATGGGGGAACGGAGCATCAGTATCAGCTATATCAGTTGGAAGCATTAAATTAGTTTTTGAGAACAGTTTTATTGTTTTGAACAATGTTTATTATGTCCCAGTTTTTGGGAAAAACCTTATTTCTGTAGCTCGTTTGATTGAGCAAGGATATTCTTTGGGATTCAATAATGATGTTATTCAAATTCTTAAGAATGGTTTCATGATTACTTCTACAGT